TGTCCCGCCTCTCACCTCCGGAACGGTTTGGCCATACTCCGGTCCGCTCCCGGGCCCTGCCGGCCGCCTGCTGCGGGCCCTGCCGCTTCTCTGCCGGTGCGCTGCTTCAGGTCCGTGTCGCTGTCCAGCAGAGTACCGGTGGTCCCGCTGTCATGCTCCGCTGTCTGCGAGTTGGTCCGCTTACGCATGCCTGGAAACGTGATTGAAAGCGGATGTTAACCGGAGGATACCCCCGTCGTCGGCTGCTGTGCGGGTGACGGAGCGCTGAGAGCCGGTGAGCACGGAGCTGAGTCCCCACTGTGCCTGCGCCGAGATCCGCAGAGAGCAGCTGATCTGAAGCAGATCTGCCGCAGCCAACCGCAGCGCAGGTAACACAACCACGTGGGCGCACAGTGACGCGTCCACGGCCTCCGGGGAGCGTCGGAGCAACGACAATCAAAACAAAACCGGTTTATGAGGATTAAAGAAAGAATGAAGAAAAAAGGAAGCGCACGGGGCTCTCAGGGGCAGCTCGGAAAGTCAAGAAACGCCCAGAAGGACGTGACCAAAGTGAAGCGTGAGAAGCTGCGATCTCTGTCTCTGTGTTGGAATATTTAAGCAGCTTCTATCGTGATTTATCCATTGTATTTCATTTCAATACACACCACACACCCAAAAATCACAAACTAAAACATTTATGAATCGACATCAGGACACTGAGTATCAAATAAGTCCCACAAAGAGAAGCCACCACAAAGATCAAGTAATTCCCTGATAAGCAGCTGGAGTGATGTGTATTTGATTGGAAGCGTGGATGAAACCCACGATCACCCCGGAAGTTTTGACTTATTTTTGAGGGATTTTGCTGCAGAGAGCTCGTTTTTCCGGTGGAACGTGAACGCAGTATTAACAGTGACGCTAACCCAGGAAGAAGCGGCGGAAAGTGCGTTAAAGGCGGCTTTATGAACTCACACAGAGCCAGTGAGTCCGGCTCGTCCTGTTCCCCGTTGTCAGAGGCTCCTGTCGGGATGACGGCTTTATTTTTAGCCGCTGCGCTTACCGGAAGTCACGCTACGGGATAGAACTGAGATCTGACGGTAAATGACGGCTTTCCCGCCCACGGCGACACCAGCACTAGCACGGCTCTCTCTCACCTCTGAGTTGGGCTCAAATGAAGCCGCTTCACCGCATCTCCGACTCTTCCCGAGCTTTTAGGAATCGCAGCTGCCCGCTTCGTGTCGCGGAGTCTGAGGTTTGACCCAACGCGGCTTCCGGAGCTGCGCCTGGAACGGTCACGTGATCAAAACATTGTTTTTACCGCGAACGTGAGCCGCCCGGTGAAGTAGGAGCGTGTCGCGGCCCAACGGAGAGATTCGCCGGGATTCTGCTCGTTTTTGAGGTGCCACGATGTTCTGCGAAAAAGCCATCGAGCTGATCAGAGAGCTGCACCGCATGAGCGACGGACAGCTGCCCGCGTTTAACGTGAGTGATCCCGGCGAAAACCCAGGGCTTCACCCGGTTTTCAGAGGCAGCGGACTCCATTCACAAACCGGATATTTTAACATTTACCTGCTGCCCAGAGCAGAATAATCGGTCTGTGAGGCACGCAAACACATCGTCAGTACAGACACAGGACTAAACTTCGGCTCAGGTCGGATGATTCAAATACTGACCAACAGACCAACGAGGGGAATTTAAGAAAACGGACTCTGAAAAGTCTTAGAGATCTCATCTAAACATGTTTACACATAACAAGCACTGCATTACATGTCGGCTGTTTTAACGACATCGATGTGCAGCCAGCAGCACACAGTTAATATCTAGTTATGTTGGGCTCTTCGTGGTGAATCATTTCCTGCATATGCTGAATTATCAAAGTGCTGTCAAACTCGTGTGTAGAGTAATAACAAGTCAGTGGTGCTTTGTGGAGGTCTGTGCCTCCACCAGGTGCTGCTCCATCATGTCACTGAGCCTCACTCACAACTGGTTTGGTTTCTGCGTTTCAGGAGGATGGACTGCGACAGGTGCTGCAGGAGATGGAGGCGCTTTACGAGCAGAACCAGAGTGACGTGTGAGTCCACAGCAGGCTGATCTGTGCAGGTTTCCTCAGGGTTCCCAGGGTCTGAGGGTTTGGATCCAGGTTTCTGTTAACCTGACCATGACCAGATTACACTTCCCGTGACCCCGCTCCTCCCTCTCATAGCAGGTTTTAAAACCCATGAAATCCGTATCAAATAAACAGGAAGCCATGTGAAGCTTTGGGTCTCAGTTTCAGTTTAAAATAATGATACTGGGTCCAAAACCACCTACAGTTAATGTTACAATAAAAGTAATAAATAATACTAAATGCAATGAAAATTTTATCTCATGAATTAAATAAAATTGTATTTATACAGCAACATATTTCCAACAACAGTTGCCTCAGGTAAAGGTAAAGACTCTACAGTAACACCGAGAAACCCCAACAGTCAGCCTTCGATCAGCCACATTGGCAACAGTGGAGAGAAAAAACTCCCTTTTAACAGGAAGAAACCTCCAGCAGAACCAGGCTCAGGGAGGCTGAGGAGTGTGATTCTCCTGAAGCTGGAGCACATCCTCCAGACCTCCTAAAAAGGAGGAACACCACCTGAGTGCTGGTTCAGAGTGTCATGAAGGCCCCGCCCACCCCAAACTGCTCAGCGGGACCCCGTCCAGCATCCTCTCTGGCACCTGAGTGTCGCACAGACAGGTGCGACTGACGGCATCACTGATCAGCTGATGTTCGTGTGTTTCAGGAACGAGGCGAAGAGTGAAGGTCGCGCCGAGCTGATTCCCTCCATCAAACTGCGCCACTGCTGCCTGCTGAGGAACCAGCGCTGCGTCACTGCCTACCTGTAACCACACCTGCAGTCATGTGACCACCTCTCTCTGCCTCACCTTTCTCCTCAATGACCTTTGCTGATCTTTGTCGCAGGTACGACCGGCTGCTGAGGATCAGAGCGCTGCGCTGGGAGTACGGCAGCGTGCTGCCCGCCAATGTTCGCTTCCACATGTGTGCAGAGGAGGTGAGTGTGACATCACTTCCTGTGTTTTCTCTCAGGTGATGCTGATGCTCTGTTGCTCTTTTTATTGGCTGTTGTAAACTTTCACTTTAAAAGCCTGAATAATTCACTTCAGGGGGGCTTTTATTGTGAAAGAGGCAGCAGAGCGTACTGTAGCTCTTCTGTGTGTGTGTGTTTGTGTGTGTGTGTGTGTGTGTGATAAATCAGCTGACAGGTGTGTGTGTTTTAGCTACAGTGGTTCAGTCAGTATAAGAAGTCTCTGGCCTCCTTCATGCGGTCTCTGGGGGGCGATGAGGGTCTGGACATCACGCAGGACATGAAGCCTCCAAAGAGCCTCTACATCGAGGTGAGACATTTGACCTTTGACCTTTAGCTGCAGCATGACCTCGTAGCACTGACGCCGACATCTGTCTTTGTTTTTCAGGTGAGGTGTCTCAAGGACCACGGCGAGTTTGAGATTGACGACGGCACTGTGATCCTGCTGAAGAAGAACAGCCAGGTGAGGACGGGATGCCACTCTTCTTCTTCTACTGTTTTAAAAACATGTGAAATGTTTCAAGTTGTCATGGTAACGTCTCCTCTGTCCTCAGCACTTCCTGCCGCGGTGGAAATGTGAGCAGCTGATTCGTCAGGGCGTCCTGGAGCATGTGGTGTCCTGACGATGCAGATGTTTCAGCAGCTGGAAAACACCTGCACTCACCTTTATTCTGGGCTCTTCTTCTGATGGGATAATAAATTGTTTTTTTCAAGCTCCGCCTACTTTATTTAAAAGCTCACAGTGAAGCTGGAGGATGAACACTAACTTCTTTCCACTGTATAAAAGTTAACGTGAGGGTTCCTGATGGTTAGAGACAAATGCAGTCACATAGCAGGATGCTGTAAACGGACCAAACTTCAGCAGGAGAACAACTGAGATAATCCATCCACAATACGAGGTCAGTCATTAACATACTGCTGCAGGGCTGTAGCTACATTAGAAGGGTTTAAAAACAGAGGTCGACAGTGATCACTGATTAAACAGAACAAGATACAAAACATTAAAACATGTTAAAAACACAACAGCCTTAAACAGTAGTTTGGACCCAGAGTTCATACGCCATCATGGACCTCCAGAGCGTCTCAGATTCAACAAGGTGAAAGTTTTCCTCAGACTCTGGTCCATGTGGATATGACATCATCATGACATTGGCCAGTGAGTGTACGTCAGCACAGGTGTGAAGCGTTACCTGTAAACCTGTAATCATGCTTTGAAATCAAATAAAATGTTGATGTTCAGGTTCAGCTGATCGAGTTTATCGCTGCGGTTATTGGCTGCAGAAGCTCAGCGTCGCCGGGACGTCTGATTAAAAAGATAAAGGTAAGATGACATAAAGATAAAAGAGCAGAGCTCTGAAGCTTTAAAGCCGTGACCGTCGCGTCCTCGTGGCTTTCTCCCACTCGCTCCTCACAGCTCACACCGGACCTGAGCAATTCAATTTTATTTATGTAGCATAAAGCGCCAAATCACAACAAAAGTCGCCTCAAGGCGCTCAGGCGGCCGGTTCTGGCCCCCGAGCTGCATGTTTGACACCGCAGACTTTCAATGTTGATCGTTTGAGACTAACTATGAAAACCAGCGATTTGTTGTGTAACTCCTACAACATGATGTGTGACAGGAAGTGAATCAGCTGGAGGAGGCGGAGTCACAGAGACATTAAAACTTTATTTCAATGACGCAAAAATAAAAAAAAGTTTCATTATAAACAAAGATAATACTGACACACCGAACGTGTGTGTGCTCCAGACATCCACCGGCTCCACACAGGGCACAGGTGAGGCCCCGCCCCCACCTGCTGGGGCCTTCTGCTCTGCGTTGGCATGGTTACGTGGCGAGCGATGCAGGGACGATGTCCCTCAGCAGCTTGTTGAGCGCGCCGACCTTCTCCTCCAGCAGGAAGTTCTTCTTCTCGGCACGTTTCTGCCGCTGCTCGGTGACCTGCAGCGCCTTCATCAGCTGCGAGTTCTCCACGTACAGGTCCTTCAGCAGTGCGCTCGACTTGGCGTTCCTCGCCAGCTGTGGGAAAAACGGCAATGGGTCAAAGTCCGACCGGACATTTGTGAATGGCGGAGAAGCGACGCCAACGCTCACCTGCTCTTTAAGCTGCTCCACCTTTTCCTGCAGGAGCAGACGGACCGCTTTCAGTTTGGTTTCCACATCCTCCGCCCTCTGCTGCAGCGCCGCCATTGCCTTCTCGTACTGATCCTAAACGCCACATACACACAGGAACTGACAGCTGTAATGCAGTGAGAGGGACGGCCCGTCGCTGCTGCGGGCGGCGGTCATCATCATTCTCCTCATAAAAGGGTAACCTCTGACCTCTGACCCACCTGCTTTGTGCTGATCTGAGAGCTGCTCTTCTGCTCCTGCTGCCTCAGCTCCTCCTCCAGCTGCAGACGACTCCTCTGCTCCTCCACCAGCTGGGCCTGCAGCACCTCCGCCCAGTCCCTGCAGCTGTTGTCCTCCTGCTGCTGTCGCAGGTGCTGCGCCTGCGCCACGCTGAGGGCGGCGTCTGCTCGCACCGCCTGAACAGACGACAGTTTTAAACATGGCCGCCGATCAGACATCCAGAGCTTTAGTGACCAATCGTTTTTATCCTTGCAGCATCCAAATACTCACACGGCGTGTATGTGTGTGCCCATATGGAAACGAAATAGTAAAAACATACATGATTTACTCATGAAAGTGGCCACTTTCTCATTACTTTCATATATTTTTTTAGTAAGTATACGAAACATACAAGTTTCATTGTATAATTTTTCAAGGGATCTTATATCTGTTTTCACTCTTGTATGCTTTTCATACAAGTTTCACACAAGACAGATACAAACTGTATAAGATTTATATCTATCTTTTCCATATGGGTGCCTTTATGGACGTACACCGTGTCTGTGATGAACAACAGCGAGCGTGTCAGCGTTCTGAAGCGTTTCTGATGTTATGATGGCGTTGACTGACCCGACCACCATCAGTTTATTTTTATATTTTACTGAAATGTAACTAATATTTCACTCTCAACCTGAAAACTGTTCAGAAATCCTTGAAAATAAATATGGCGTGGTACACCCCACGCCCCCGTGAGCGTTTTAAACACGCCTCCGATCATCTGCAGATTTGTGTGTGCAGCGGTGGGCGGAGCTTTACTTCACGTCACAGTTTGATGAAGGACTCGAGCAGCTGTTTCTTTCATTCTACCTGAGCTCAGTGAGTCGGTAATGGCTCCGCCTCTTTGTGTTTAACACTGGGCTGAATGAGCGCGTCACCTGGTGTTCGCTCGCTCTGCGGTAGAGTATCACTTCCTGTTCCTGCTCAAACACACAGTGGTGTTTCTGAGTAGCTTATCTGCAATTTAATTAAAACCTTTTAAATACATTCTTCTTTCATAGTATAATCTTCACGTGCTTCATCCGAAGCACACTCTGTGTACTCACTCCCTAACTTATAGCCAAAGTATTCACTCACTGTCTCTGTACTGT